AATGAGAGAAGAGAGTGTATGTGGGGAAGAGTGTGAGTAAGAAATGAGAGTGACAGTGGGGGGAGAGGGGTGAATGGACATGGAGTAGAGAGAGAGATAGTTAGTGTTGGCTGAGAGAATGAAACTGAGAGGTTTAGGGAGTGGGAGAAACAAAAAAGGTGATAGAGAGGCAATGAGTGAGTGCTTGATAGAAGGGGAGACAGACTGATTGATACAGAGACTGATAGAAGAGAGGCAGAGTGTGAGAGCGTGAGTGAAAAATGAGGACGAGAGTGATTGACAGAAAGGGTGGATGGAGTGAAAGAGAAAAACGGACGGGGATGGGTGTGGGTCGAGAGTAAGAAACAGAGACACAGAAGGAGAAAGCAGAGACAGCGAGTGAAAGAGAATGATCAAGCGTGTGAGAGGGGAACGTGTTTGCACAAGAGGAGAGTGAAGAGAGGGAGTGAGTGATAGAGAGAGGGGAGATAGAGAAAGTGTGAGAGGGGAAAGAGGGTGTGAGAGGAGTGATGTCGTGCGCGGAGAAAGGGTGTGTGAGATAGAGTAACTGAGAGAGGGAAGGAATGTATGAGAGAAACAAACGGAGAGTGGGGAGAGAGTGACTGAGAGAGGACGCAGAGAGAGTGTAAGCGGAAAGGGAGAAAACGGGTGAGAAAATCCGCAACATTTACCACAGTATTAAAAAAAATTGGCGTGTCTAATAAGTTTATTTATGCCTTTCCCGTTTAGTTGCTCGAAAACCCCATAAAGCCAAACGTTTGTACCACACTCACAAACAAAAAACCCACACAAATATACAGCACCGAAAAAATTGCTCAGCTTATGGTGAATACGATGGCACCTTTATAACAATCCTTTCAGTCTCATTTCCCTGCTCTGTTCGCAAATCCATTTTAGATAGTTTACTCTTTTTCGATCGATATCTAGATATGTTTTCAAAGCCAATATGGATTCTGGCTCAAACACCACTCCCTCCAGGACTTACCGTAACCCAACAACCAACTGTGCAACAAAACAAATTCTCCAAACTCCCATTTGCCAACTTGCTAACTATCTTAAATTGATGCTTTAGGCACTAAAGTCCGACGAGTGGTATCTTTACATCAGGTAAGCTTTCGGTTTGTGAGAAAATCTCCTAGGGAACAGGGCGAGGCTGAGTGCTAGATATCTGGTTTATTGCCAGGCATTACCTACCGGACTCCGACCAAGGTGTGTTAATACCTTTACAGCCTAGAACACTGAAGCCACATCGCTAAGAGGCTCGGGAACCAAAGGCAGGAACCGCAGCCCAGTCAGCGGGGAGATAAGACGGTGAGTCTCTCATTTGCTCTGATTGTGGCTGAAATAAAACACTAAAGTTATTTCAGGTTTCAGAACTTGGAATGAGAAGAGAGAGAGAGTGTGCGAGGGAAGAATGATCGACAGAAATGGGGAAGAGAGAAATAGAGAGCGAGTGTGGATGAGTGTAAGAAACAGAGAGGCAGAGAGAGAGAGAGAGAGAACAACGTGTGAGTGATTGAGAGTGTGAGAAGAAACCTGTGTGTTACAGGGGTGGAGAGGGGTAGAGAAAGCAGTAGAGGGAAGATGGGTGTAAGAGAAAAAAGAGAGACAGCGAAGGAAAGAGTGGGCGGAAGCAAAGTGATAAGAGAGTGGCAGTGAGTGACATAATGTCAGAGAGGGAGTGAGATTTATTAAGAGTAAGAGTGTGTGTGAGAATGTGAATGAGAATTCAGGGGAAAAGTGATTCATGGAAACGGGTGAGAGAGTGAGAAAGATTTGAGCCGGTAAGAGAAAGAAACAGACATGGAGACAGAGGGAAAAGGCAGAGAGAGAGAAAGTGACTGAGATTATGGGAGGAGCGAGTGTTGGTGAAAGAGATGAGCGAGAAGAGGGGGAGTGAGTTATCGAGAGAGAGGAGACAGAGAGGCTGTGAGAGGGGAAAGAGAGAGTGAGTGGAGGGACAGGCGTGAGTGTGAGAAGGGGGGATAGAGAGAGAGTGGAATTGAGAGGAGGAATGAGAGTCTGTGAGACAGAGCGAGAAGGGTGAGCGAATGACTGAGAGAGGTCAGAGAGAGTGCGTGAGAGGGAAAAGAGAAAATTCACAATATTTAACATAATATAAGAAACGGGCGTCTCCAATATGTTTTTTTCTTCTTTTACTGATTGGTTTCTTTTAGAAAAACCCTAAATCCAATCTTTTGTGCCACACCCACAAATACAGAAACATCGAGATATGCAGCACAGAAGAAGGATGGCTGGGTTGGCTGCTTTTATGCCAATCCTTTCAGTCCCATTTGCATTGCTCTTTTCCAAAATCTATTTTAGATAGTTCACTCCATTTAGATAGGTATCTAATGTGATCTTAAAATCAATCAGGAATCTGCCTCAAACATCATTAGCTCTGATTGTGGCCGAAATAAAGCAATAAATTTACTGCATCTTTTAAGCGCTTGGAAATGCCACCATTTTGAGCAGCGCGATATAAACGCAAAGCTTTGTTTTGTAGTTCGTGAAAGTTTAATGCTATTGAAGAAACCTGGAGGCAGCCGTGGATTTAATGAACACATTTTTTTTGTGAAATCCAAAATATTCATTCGATTACCATTAAGACAAACAGCCAAAGAGAAGAGCTATGTTTAAATGTTTACGATTGTGTAATCTTTAGAGCGGTTATACATCATTCTCTCTCGTAATCAGAAACTACTCTTGCTGGAGCCACCACATCAATTCAGAGTAAAGAAACGCAACATTGGTTGTTGGCGTTGATAACGTTTGATTTATAGATGTACTGCTGGACGCAAGAAATATTGCGGAGATGAGCGAAAGCCAAAATGGAACGTGAGCCATGGAATAATGCATAATTAATGGTGGGATACGACAATGTTGCTTCCCGTTGGCCAGTTAAACTGAATTTAGGGTTGTTGTAGATTAATGCCGTCAATACCTGTAGTGAGTAGATACCGAAAGGAGTCAAGCTGGTGTGGACAACATTAAACTGAAGAAAGATAGAGATCCATCAGCACCTGATGTCTTACAGGTAATTTGTCAGATAAGCAATGATCCTGGAGTCGAGAGTGGTGGGTAAAGTTGGGTTTCCTCTGCAGCCTGTGGAACTGCAAGCAATGTATCTGGATTGTGTCACCAAAGTTGAGCATTTGGATGGGGCAAAGTAGAAGTCTCAGAAAGGAGACTTGATGATGGTTGCATGTGTTTGTGTGAGGCAGGAAGATGAGCTGCTGGATGACACGAAGTCTAGATGCTGAGAGGCAGAGGGAGGGCTGGAAAAGTACACAATACTAGAATTTGAGGCGGGCTCAGCAACAGAAAGCAAAGTAGAAAAGGATTACTAGCGGGAGAGAGGACCCAAGTCAAGGGCATAGGAACTGTAGGCATGGCCACCAATGGCATCGAGTGATGTGTGATTTGCAGCTCCATCATGTGACAGCCTGGCTGGTGAAATGTATGTGAAGTCTGGTGAAGTGTGGCTGGTGCAGTTTCCAGACCCCAGACTGTCCAGCGCCTTGGGACTTCCTCCCGATGCAAAAGGCGCTCTATCAGGATCATTTTATTGTTGTTGTTGTTGTGTCTGTCAGTGTTGGTTACAGGGTGCTAAGCTGGTGCAGTGTGTGTGTCAGTGCTGGTGACATGGGCAGGACTTGTAAAGATTTACTGAGCAAGGATCTGCCAGCACTCAGATAAACGGAGGACTCCGGCAATGGTTCAAGAAAATGAAGAACAACCACAACTTACCTTCAAATGGCACAGCTATTGTTAATGTTTTCACGTACCATTTTATTGAGCTGGTGAAATGTGCGTGTGTCTATGTTTGTGATTATGGTGCTGAGTTGGTAAAATGGGTGTGTGTCAGTGTTGTTGATATGGTGCTCAAGGGCGAAACATGTGTGAGTCCGTTTTGGTGAGGATACAATGGTGCTGAGCTGGTGAAGTGCATGTGTGAGGCTTCTTTAGGACACCATGTGGCTCAGCTAGTAAAGTTTGTGTGTGTGTGTATGTGTCAGCGTTGGTGACATGGTGTTGAGTTGGGGAAATGTGTGTGTGTCAGCGTTAGTGATATGGAGCTGTGCTGGGGAAGTGTGCAGTGAGAGTAAATGCAAGGAAGAAGGATAAACCAAGGCTAGTCACGCTGATGTCAGTAGTGGGGAAATATCTATAGACTATAATCCGGGAAAATACAAAATTTCACGAAGAAAATTACGGGTTAATAAACGACAGCCAACATGGGTTTGTTCAAGGCATATGGTGTCTAACAAACTTGAGAGAGATTTTTGATGAAGAATCGGAGAAGTTGGTTAAAAGTAGTGCAGCTGATGTAGTGTATATGGATTTTCAAAAGGTGCCGCATAAGGGACTTGTAAGCAAAATTGAAGCTTTATTATTGAAGTAATAAAGGGTTAGAGAACTGTCTGGAAGACAGAAAGCAGAGTGCGATGGAGAACGGTTGTTTTTCTGACAGGAGGGAAGTGACAGTGGTGTCCCCAAGAGGTCGGCTTTGGGACCACTGCTGTTTTTCATGTATGTAAATGACGTAGACTTGGGTATAGCGTGTACACTTCCCAAACCTGCAGGTGATACTAAGCTATGGAAAGTGGTAAACGGTGATGAGGATTGTAGCAGACTGCAAGAGGACATAACAAGACTGGTAAATGGGCAGATACGTGGCAGATGAAGTTTAATGAGGAGAAATGTGAAGTGATGCATTTTGGGACACCGATTTAAAATAGTTGTTAAAAGAACATTGGTGAGGAGAATTGTTTTCACGTAGCGAGTTGTTCGTATCTGTAATGCATTGCCTGAAAAGGTGGTGGAAACCGATTAGATAAAACGCTTTTAAGAGAGAAGTAGATATTTATTTGGGGAGGAAAAGTTTGCAGATCTATGGGGGAGAGCGAGGGAATGAGAACTGATTTGGGTATCTCTTTTCAGAGAGTCTAACAGACACGATGGGCCAATTGGCCTCGTTCTGTAGTGTATAATGCTATGATTCTATGAAATTGGCTTAAGCATTCACCTTCAAAATACAAATCCATGACAAATCACAATAAATGGGGAAGTGTTTTGAGATATCCTCCAAACTTGAAAGAAAATAAATGCAAGAAAAGTTAGTATATTTATGCCAACTGTATTTTAGTAAGAAATCTGGATGTGGTTGGATTGTGATTGCACCATGACTTACAACTTACTTAATTGCAGGATAAATATCAAATTCGACACAGAAGGACAGCCCATTGGAAATGCTAACCTGAAGTTATTCTCTGATAGATCACGTCTGGATTCCCTGTTAGCCTTCTAACAGTTGCTCTACAAGAAACATAACAAAGGCTCAACACAAGTCGCAAAATTCGCTGACATCTTGGCTGCACTTTGCAGCCATGAAACGCCACGTAGGAACATTGTAGGGAAAGAGGAAACAGAACTCTGAAACACCGAGACACGACAAACCTGATGAATCAATGAAATGGTCACGATCACCACAACAAAACAAACCCACATCTGGGGGGAATGATACAGCGAGCACATCTGGAGTTGCCCAACTACATTGTAATATGGTTGCAAATCTCAACCACTGTTTCACCACTTTGTGTGGATCGAGTGAGATAGCCTCCCTGGGCACTGATTCGATTGTAAATGCAGAGGGCGATGCGATGATCTGCGGCATGGATCAGACACCCGTCAAAACACCAACAGGCAATGTCTTCGCTTTACCTGACTTTGAGGAAAGTCTTAAAGAGATGATAACGGATAAAGGTAAAATATTCATTAAAAACATTTCCACACAAACACACACGTTTATCTCACAAGCCTTAGAACTGGTAGATCAGTCAATGAGACGTCCTCCTGACGTAAAAGGCGCTATAAAATGTAACACTGTTGATGTTGTTTTGTTGTCTATTTGGGTTGAACCAGCTCCCAAATTCTGTAGTGGAAGATCGGGGACATGTTGGACGGTTAATGAACCAAACCCATGGAGATAGCAGAACAGTCAGCCTGGCACATGGTTAGGTCTTGCAGTGGGAAAACAGTCCTGACGGAATGGATCATTCGAAATCAACTCCTGTTAACAATGTATACCAAAAGCACTTATGGGTAGAATGGATACAGCCAACATGTATGCGGATGACATTCAATTCTACTTCCCGGCCTCCTCATTCTCTTCCACCTGCGTCTCCCAGTCCGCAAATCTATTATCAACTTGTTTGACAGCCACCTGGATAAGCTGAAACTTCCTGCAGCTGAACTTCAGCAAGACGGAAGCCATACTCTTTGGCTCCCGCCAATGTCTTCTTTCCTCCAGGTCCAACCTCCGCGGTATCTCCTTCAAAATCATTAAACCCGTGCGCAACCTCGGCATTAGGTTCGATCCACAGCTTTCATTTCTCCCCCACATCCGTTCGCTGACCAGGACCGTTTTTTTCCTCCTTTGCCAAATTGCCCGCCACTGTCCGTACTTCACACCCCCAGCAGCCAAAACCTCATCCACGCCTTTGCCACTTCCCGCCTGAACATTTCAAATGGCCTGCCTATTGGTCTCCCAAGTTCCACTGTACACACTATTCAATCAACTCCACCATCCGGTTACTAACCCATCCAAAGCTGTGGAGCCTCATCACCCCAGTTTTTGCCAGGCTGCACTGGCTCCATATTTCCGAACAGATCAACTTGAAGTTTCTCGCTCATTTCCAAATCCCGACATGCCCTTGCATTCCCTTCCCTTCTGACTTGCTCAACCCTAATTCCACCACCCGCTGCCTCCGCTCGACTGGCTCTGGCCTCCTCTTCGTCTCTCGACCACTCTGCTCCACCATCGGTGGCCGTGCCTTCAGCCACTATGCCACAAAGCTCTGGAACCCTGTCCCGCAAAGCCTTCTCCTTGCTCCCTCTTTCCACAATTGAAAGGATGAGCGTGAAGGGCACTGTGTCAATGCAAGTTGATGAGTGGTCCCAGCGGGACAAACAATGGGCGCTTCAGTTCAATGTTCTGAATAGTTTTAGCTATGCGGGTTTTTTGTTAAACTATAGCAGCGACACACAACATAGACTTTAGGTTTCCCATAGACATAGCGCTTGGCAATCTGCAAGCTATGGCATTGAATACAACTCTCGTCGAGACACAGGGAATGTTCGAGTGGTATTGGTATAAACACAGTAAAGATATTATGAGTAGTCCTCGATTTGATATAGCTCCATTTCATGTAATAAAAATCATTCTTGTTATGGACTTTCATGTCAGGAATACATCCCAAAGCGACAGTGAGTCTTGTGGGATAAGGTGAAAATAACCTATCTACAATCTCCCTCAAACAGCCATGGAGTGAGAGACCAATATCATTTGGTAATTATTTATCCAGGATACCGGAAGCCACTCACTTGTCTTTAACAACCATCAAAGCAGCAGCAAATGGGACTTTGGTTTAGTGCCTATTATGAAAGATGGCAGTTCAGCAGTGCAGGATAACCCAGCAGTGACCCGCATTGCAGTGAAAGGTTATGACCCGGCAAAATTCTGACACTGGCTTTAATAAGTTCAACTTAATAGATGTAATAAATGTGTTCAAAATTATGATGGGTTCTGATGGAATAGAGAGGGTATAACTGTTTCCGCTGGCGGATGGATCGGTTACCAGGGGACACAGATTAAGGTAATGGGCAAAGAAACAGAAGGGAGTCTTGCAGTGTATTGTCAGGCTGGTCTAATTGGTCAAAGTCCTGATGTGGAGCTTGAACCCACAACCTTCTGTCTCAGGAGCAAGAATGATATTAAATGATCCAGGCTGCCAGCTGTCGGATGGTAGCTACTAATTAGTGTTTTTGGCCAATGGACGTTGGATTATACTGGGCGTTTGCAACAGTAAACTTGGTAATATTTCCTGAAATACGTTTCGAGAGAATACAAGTAAAATCATATCTAACTAATGTTTTATTGGTTGCCAACAGGTTCAAATACCTTATTCACTGAGACGCTGGCCCTGTACAACGGGTACCAGCTGCACCGACTGACAAATTTCTACCGAGACAGATTGGAACAGGCCATTGAGGAAGGCGTGGAGGACATCAGCTCAAGGCTAACACAGAATGAATGTTTAAGCCCCCAGGAGCACAAAGTAGGTTTGAGTCGGGAGGTTTCCCTGTCATTTGTTAAAAGCTCAGCAAGTCTGTGCCTGTCTGCACGGCTCATGTGCTGCTGTTATCAGAAAATCAGCAGAATGGCTATCAAAGCTTAACCAACCAGTTATGTTGTAATGCAGGCCATGCACTGTATGCTTGTAGTGGAGCAGCACTGCACAGTGTAATAATTGTCTGGTTATAGAGCGTTTAAATAGCACCGTTCACGTGGTGAGGGAGTCTCGTGGCACTGACAGTTGGAAGGTAGAGCCCGAGCTGGATTTGGGAAGGAAATGGGCGGGAAGATGATCAAAGGCATAGTCACTGAGGAGAGCAGTTTGTGGAGGGAAGATATAGCAAATCCAGCTAAGCCATCAATTGGTCTGGGTAATGTTGATCACCGTCACTGTTCATGTTTCACTCCATCTTCAATATATTAATGCTCACTCTCTTCAGAAACTCACGGAGCTCACACACAGTGGGCGGAAGAGACAAAGCTCAAAACTTCTTCTGAACATGGTGATGGGGAAAGGTTCCCAGTCCAATATAGTGATGTGGGAATCCTTTGTGAAAATGAGGCAAACTTTGCCCAAACCGAACAAAATCATGACTGAAATACAGGAACAAGGTAATGTGCGATGACACTCTGATTCCATTCTGTGGTGCGTTACACATTTTACTCAAATAGTATTGAGAAAACGTTCATTCAAACTACTAATATTAACTCTATTCAAACAGGTGCCAGTCTAGTGAATGAGGTGACGATGGACCGAAGTATACCAGACTTCCCCAGTGATATGATAGGTATGTGACAGTGACAACAGTCAAACCAGTCAATCACTTTCGAAATAAACAGTTTAACACTTTTCCATTTACTTGGTGATTTTCAGAAAACTCAAATGAGGAGGAGAGGAGGAGAAAGGGTAGTAGGCAGACACAGAGGCAGATGAGGAGGGAGGGGAATGATCCTCATTGGATTCTTACATTATTTAGGCAAATATTGCTTTGGTATGATTTTTCTCACAATAAATCAGCCGTCATATAATGGCCTGAAAATGTCCATGCTTTGAATGCAATTCACATTGTTTAACCCTTGTTTGCCTGGCTCAGTTGTTGTTCCTTTGACTTGCAGTCAGAAGTTGTTCAATTTCACATCAACAGGACTATTTGGCACTCTAGGGTAATTCTGGGATGTGTTGCATTGACGCAAATGCCACCATTGGGATATCAAACCGAGGTCGTGTCTCCCTTTTCAGGTGGACATTAAAAACCCAGCGATACTATACGAAAAGAGAATAGAGTTTGTCACCCCGGTTTCGTGGGGAAAATCTATCAAATAAATTTGGTGACTCACTGAATATAGGCTTGTGGGCCATCACTGTGCACAAATTAGCAGCTGTGTTTGCCAACAAAAAACAGCTACTTCACGCTAGAGTTAAGCTAGTGCAGCATTTTGGGCAGTCCTCCTGCTTTGAAAGGCCTTCCACTGAATCTAAGTATTATTGTTCAATATTGCTCACTAATGCTTCTATTTACTTTATGATTATTTAATGTTCGACATGAAGCGATTCAGGGACTGCACAAGGACACGTTACACAAACAATGTGAGAAACTGGAAGTGAAGACCATCCTGGAGTCCTGTAGCTCAGTGGTTAGAGCACTCGCTTTGCAGGTGAGAGACCTGAGTTCAATTCCAGGCAGGGCGAAAGCTTGGGCAAGTTTCCTTACTCCACACGCCTAATAATAATCCCTCCAAAAAAACCAAAAACAATAATTAAATTGGTCATTTTCAATCTACGACTGTTTGTGGGACATTGCTGTGCGCAATTGGCTGCCGCGTTCGCCCACAAATATACAGTCAATTCACTTTACAGTGTCTTCTGTGAAGCGCTTTGGGACGTCCTCCCGACGTGAAAAGCGCTATATCAAATGCAAGGATTATTATTATTATTATTATTATTATTATCCTGATACAGGAGAAGGTGAGTACGTTTCAGTTGGTTGATCGCTACACGGAGTTAACAATCATTTCAGATCTCCGTCACCGCAAACTGGTAGAACATGAGCTGCTGGCGAGAGGCAGAGACCACGAGGAATGGAGACAGAAGCAACTCCGGGGAGAGCTGGAAAAAATAAGAACTGATAAACTGTTCCACAGCAGCTTCTCAAACCGAAGTCATTTAACTTCCTCCCAGGGAAGCGGATCTGACTCTCCCACAGGGACTTCGGCAGTAGTGAGTGGAGTGGCGGGGATTGGAAAAACAACCATGGTGCAGAAGATTGTTCATGACTGGGCCACAGGCAAAATCTATCCTCAGTTTCACTTTGTATTTGTTTTTAAATTTCGAGACCTAAACAAACTACACAACAAAATAACCCTAAACCGCCTGATCGTGGAGCAGTATCCATACCTCAGGGATGTTCTGGAAGAGCTGTGGAAACTCCCAGAGAGATTACTCTTTATATTGGATGGTTTGGATGAATTCGGGGCAAGGATTAATTTCGCTGATAGTCGGAGAGACACAGAGCCTCAGCGCAGGTGCACAGACCCTAAATTCTGCTGTAAAGTGTGCGGCATTGTGTACAGTTTAATACAGAAAAAGCTGCTGCCAGGCTGCTCAGTGCTGGTGACCAGCCGCCCCACTGCATTATATTTACTGGCAAAGGCTCAGGTCAGTGTCTGGGCTGAAATCCTGGGATTTGTGGGTCAAGAGAGGAAGGAATATTTTCAAACGTTCTTTGAAGATCAGGAGGTGGCGGCTGCTGTTTACAGCCACGTGGAGGAAAACGAGCTCCTGCTCACCATGTGCTATAACCCGTCCTACTGCTGGATCCTCGCTCTGTCTCTGGGTCCCTTCTTTATACAGAAACACAGCAACAAACAACAAGTTCCTAAGACAATTACACAACTCTTCTATTATATTTATCACATCCTAACACTTCACAGCGTCAAGATGGAAAGCTCCCGTAATGTAATGTTGAAGATTGGTGAGATGGCCTTCACTGGTGTCTCCCAGAGAAACATTGTATTTAATGATGAAGATCTGATCAAATATAACCTCCAGCCTTCCCAGTTCCTCTCTGGCTTTCTCATGGAACTTGTGGAGAGAGAGTCTTCAGAGAACAGCGTGGTCTACACATTTCCGCACCTCACCATCCAGGAGTTTGTAGCCGCACTCGCTCAGTTCCTGTTTCCGAATCCAGAAGGTATTCGGGATTACTTTTATCAAGCTCACAGTAAAGAGGACGGCCGGTTTGAGATATTCCTGCGCTTTGTTGCGGGTCTCTCCTCCCCACGGGCAGCTCAGCCACTGGAGGAGTTTCTGGGGCCATTTGTTCATCAAAAAACCTACGCGGTGATCGATTGGCTGAAGGAGAAGATTAAAGCTCAGGTCAGAGACACAGACACTGTCACTGGGAAAAGGAAGCTGCGTAACTTACTCCACTACCTGTTTTAGTCTCAGAATCAAGCCCTGGCACAGCTCACACTGGGCTCTGACCACACACTGACATTTGGTGACTCCTCTCCAGGGAAAGCATTGAGACTGACACCGATAGATTGTGTTTTGGTGTCTCAGACCATTGCACTGTGTGACACAGTAAAACAACTGGATTTGAGGAGCTGCTACATTCAGGATGGGGGTCTCCAGTGGGTTCCTGCTCTGCACAAGTGTCAGGAGTTGCGGTAAGATTAATCTGTGTGTAAATCATATACCTATTATTTTTGATTCAAAGCCATTCTCCAGGATGTTACTGACCTTGAACACCAGCTGAACAATGGAAGAATGGTATCACACAGCAGGAGAGAAAGTGTGTGACACTGTGATGGCCGTCACACACTACAATCCTGCCCTGGTGTATTGGGAGGTGAATGAATGACATTCCGCTACACTCCTGGCTGCTCAATACCCTGAGCACTTCGGTGACATTTCCAGATTGCTGATGTTATTGGGATTCGTTCCTGACTCTAGACTGGAATACACACTTTATTAAATATATTGCAATGAGATCCCGGGTCAGACAGTGCAGAGAGCGCTCAGAGTTGCCAGTCAGTGGTTTCTGTTTATTCATAGAGTAGATGGTTCTCTTGACCACACAGTCTCTGATACACGGAAATCCTTCTAACCTCTGACCCTCTCAGCTTACCCCCAACTCTGACGCCAGGACTAACCATGTGGTTAGGCCGGAGGATTCCTTTGTCCTCTCCTCCCGGCGGCAGCAACTCCCCAAGTACTGCATTCCAGGGCGATGGGACCTCCCGAGGGATTGGCCATCCCATTTATCCAGGGCCAGCCGCACACGCTCTCCAGTACAATGTTATAACACTGATACAATATGGTTCACAGCGAACACAACTCCCTCAGCCTGACATCAGTAGACAGGTGTGGGCTCCCCTGGCCCTGGTGAAGAGTCTCCATTTGCAGCTACTGAGATCTCCCGGCCACAGAGATTCTCTTTCCCGAGTCTGGGGCTCACAGTATGTGAAGAATGAGAGAGTAGAGACATAACCACTACCCTGATCCCAGTGATTACAGGCCGGGCTGGCAGATGCCACAACATTAGCCTCACTCAGACTGACTGAGGGTTACAGTACTGCTGGAAAAGACCCAGCGTAAACTGCTGCTGCCAGGACCAGGCTTCGGGGAGATCCCACTGCTTGTAGACCCAGCAGCCCAGCATGTTAAAACGTCTTGTCCAGATAAGGTGCTTTAATAAATGCACGGCTTATTATTATTTTTATAAGGTACTATCTCTCACACCAGCTAAACTTTGCCTCCACAAACGGTTGTGTTTCTCTGTCTCTCCCACAAAACACACAGTCACCACACTTTATAATATATTCTCTGTCAATCTCTTTTGTGGTCAGTCTCTCACTCTGTCTCTCTCACTCTCTCTTTCCGTCGTTCTCGGTGTCTCTCACTCTCTCTTTCAGTCTCTCTTGCAGTCTCTGGCTGCCTCACAGTTTAAGTCTCTCTGTCACTCCCATAAACACAGTTTCGCTACACACACACATATATATATTCTCGCTCATTCTCTCCCCCCCCCTCCTCTATCGCAGTCTTTCTGTCGCTCTGTGTGTCTTTCACACAAAACAAAATGGATATCTGCCTTTCATTGGCTTTCTCTCTCTTTCGCTGTCAGTCTTTCTCCTCGTCTCTTTCTCTCTCATTCTATCTCAGTCTCCCTTTCCGTCGCTTGCTTTTACCGCAGTCTCTATCTCAAACTCAGTCTGCCTCTGCCTCTTCCAATGAGTCTCTCTCTCCATCTTTCCCCCAAAAGACAGTCACAACACATTTGCTTCTCTCTCTCGCAGACTCCGAAAGCAGGAGAGACTGAGGGAGAGAGTGACTACGAGAAAGAACAAGACTGAGAAAGGGAGATAGAGAATGAGAGAGAGAGTTGGGCAGAAAAAGATACCGAGGGAGAGAGAGCGAGAGAGATTGAGAAAGATAACAAGGGAGCGACTGAGTGAGAGAAAGATAGAGCGATATACCGAGAGAGAGAGAGAGCGAGAAAAGGGGAGAGGCACTGCGAGAGAGAAACTGAGAGAGAGAGAGAGAGAGAGAGGGACATAGATAGAAACGGATACTGAGAGAGAGAGAAACTGTGAAAGAGAAAGAGAACGTGAAGGACAGAAGGAGAGAGATAGACTGAGAGACAATGACTACGGGAAAGAAAGAAAGAGACTGGGAGAGATACAGAGAGAGAGAGACTGATAGAGACTATGGAGGAAATATATTTCAAACTGTAGTGACTGTGTGTTTTGTGGGAAAGATAGTGAGACAGACTGTGAGAGAGAGACTGAGAGAAAGACTACGAGAGAAAGAGACTGATAAGGAGACAAATAGATAAACAGACTGAGAGAAAGGGAGAGACTGTGAGAGGAAATATAACTTGTAGTATCTGTGTGTTTTGATTCAGCAAGAGAATGTGAGAGATAATCAGACAGATTGAGAGAGAGACTAAATGAAAGAAAGACAGAGACAGATAGAGAGAGAGAGAGATTTGGAGAGACACTGAAAGAGAAGGAGAGAATCAGCGAGCGATAGACTGACAGTCAGAGAGAGAGGCAGAAAGGGATATTGAGAGACAGACAGCAAGGCGGTGGGAGAGAATGAGAATCAGAGAAAAAGAGCGAGAGACTTAGAGAGAGATTGGGAGAGAGACTGAGTGAGCGAAACATAGAGCAAGGGACAGATAGCGTGAGAGACTGGGAGAGAAAAACTGGGAGAGGCAAACTGAGAGAGAAAGGGAAAGCGACAGACAGAAGAAAGAGTGCGACAGAGTGACTGCGAGAGAGAGAACTAAATTGGGAGAGATAGACAGATTGAGAAAAACTGAGATAGACCGTCCAGAAAACATATTACAAACTGTACTGACTGTGTTTTGCGGAAAAGACAAAAAGAGAGTCTGAGAGATATAGAGACTGAGAGAACTGTAAGAGAAAGGGAGAGAGAGAGACTGAGACAGAAATACTGATAGAGAGACTATGAGAAATTGACTGAGAACGAGACAGAATAAGGGAGAGAGAGGAGTGGGGGGACATAGAGAAAAAACTGAGATAGAGACTGTGAGAGAAAATATTTTAAAGTGTATTGATTGTTTTTTTGGAGTAACGGAGAGAGAGCGAGAGAGAGATAACGATTATTGACCTGGAAAAGTGAGAAAGGGAGAAACTACGGGAGAGACACAGAAAGAAATTCTGAGAGAGAATGAGAGAGAAAGTGATAGACACAGAGTGAGAGAAAGACTGAGCGAGAGCCTCAGAGAGGCCGGGAGAAAGAGATAGCGAGGGAGGGTCTTCCTGTGAGAGAGAGAGAGAGAGAGAGAGAGGCAGAGAAAGAGACTGTGAGAGAACATATATTATAAAGTGTATGGACTTCGTGTTTTGTGGGAGAGTCAGAGTGGGAGATTGTGAGACAGAGAGAATGAGAGAGACACTAGGAGAGAGAAGTGACTGACTGCGAGACAGAGAGAAAGAGAGACAGACAGATAGAAAAAGAGACTGAGAGAGAGCCAGATAGATTTACTGATAGAAATGGACTGAGAGAGACCGGGAGTGGAGCTATATTTATGGTGTACTTACGTTGTGATTTGTGGGAGAGTCAGAGAGAGAAAAAAGAGATATTGAGAGAGAGAGAGAGAGAGAGAGTGAGATAACGAGACTGAGAGAGAGCCTGAGGGAGAAAGTGAGGGACACAGTTTGAGTGATAGACTGAGAGAAAGTCTGAAATAGAATGAGAGGTAGAGACTGTGAGAGAGAGAGAGAGAGAGACAGAGACAGAGACAGAGACTGAGAAAGAGTGAGAGAGAGAGGGAGATTGACTCTGAGAGTTAGATTGGGAGAAAAAGAGACAGAGTGAGAGAGAGATTGAAAGAGAGCGATTGAAGGGCAGAGAGAGTGACTTAGAGAGACAGAGATGGAGACTCAGTTAGAAAGAGAGAGTGGGAGGGAATATATTATGTTTGACATATTATATATGCCGACTGCGGATTTTCAGGCGCTGACAGCATCAGCATCCAAGGCCGCACTCTCCACCTCGCAAAGACAGTCAGGAACCTTGGGGTTCTGTTGGACCCTGAGCTGTCCTTCCTCCCTCATATCCGCGCCACAACGGGCACCGCCTTCCATCACCTTCGGAATGTCGCCAGACTACGGTATTACCTCACCCCTCACGCGGCTGAAACTCTGGTCCACGCCTTTATCACCTCAAGGCTGGACTATGGGAACTCTCTCCTCGCGGCCTTCCCGGCCCTCCCTCCACACTGCAGGTCATTCACAACTCTGCAGCTCGTGTACTGTCCCGCACCAGACACCGTGACCACATCACTCCCACCCTCGCTCGCCTCCACTGGCTCCCCAACCCCCAGAGGATCGATTTCAAGATCCTTATCCTCACCTACAAAACCATTCACGGCCTTGCTCCCACCTACCTCTCCAACCTACTATCCCCCTACCTACCTGCCCGTACCCTCCGTTCCTCTGGCTCCGGTCTGCTCCACATTCCCCGCCCCAACCGCCCTACCATCGGTGGTCGGGCCTTCAGCCTCTCAGTCCCGAGAATCTGGAGCTCTATCCCCCAGTGCCTTTGCCTTGCCTCCTCCCTTTCCTCCTTCAAGGCCGGTCTCAAGACCTTTCACTTTGACCGTGACTTCAGCTCCTCTCTCAAATCTCTACCCACGCCTCGCTCACTCCATTCCCTCCCCTCACCCTGACCAATTCCCCCTTGCTCGGGTCCTGACCTAACTGTACAGCGACTTGGGACGTCCTCCTGACGTAAACGGCGCTCAATAAATGGAATCTTGTTGTTTTTCTTGTTGTTGTTGTTGTTGAGAAAGAGACTGAGAGAGAGAGACCTGGAGAGAGAGACTGAGAGAGATTAAGAGACAGAGAGGGAGACTGAGAGAGAGAGAGTGAGTGAGTGAGTGAGTGAGTGAGTGAGTGAGTGAGTGAGAGAGAGATGTAGAGCAAGATCGAGACTGTGAGGGACAGAAACAATTTGCATGTACGGGTGTGTCTGACCCTGGTCCCACGGTGTATGTTTGTTTTTGTATGTGTGTGTGCATGCGTGTCTGTTTGCGTTTTGTGTGTGTGTTTTTTTGTGTGTGTGGGCGCGCACTACTGCAACCTTTCCGGCTCAGAAATGTATGATGTTGGGGATTCCTCCTTGATCCTGAGACGATAATCTCACTCAGGTCAATGATTCCATTCATATTCCCAACTGGCTTTAGCTCCCAGACACAAATATTTTTTGTTGAAAAATCATGTCTTGAGGTAGTTTTTTATTGATATCTTTACAATCAAAACGTCTGTGCAAAAACATCACTCAGAATAAAGTCTACATAGCTTTAGCCCTGAGTTAGTCTGTGTCTGCTCACACACTGCAGGCTGAGCCCTGTAGCTGAGTGGTTAGAGCCCTCGCCTCGCTGGCGAGAGGGCCTGGGGGTGATTCCTGACAGAGCAAAACCTTACGGATGTTTCCTTATTCCACTCGTGTCTGTTTGCCTCGCAGTCAGTCACAATCCGTTTGTTAGACGATTTGCAGATCACTTTTCCAGGTTAATAATCCCTTGAAAAAAACATTTCGTGAGAGACTGTGAGAGAGACTAAGAGAGAAGCGAGATTGAGAAATAGACTGAGAGCGAGTGAGAGACTGAATGATAGACTAGCGGTGAAGAAATATATCGTGTAGTGACTTTTTTGCAAGAGTGACTGAGGGACAGAGACAGAAAGAGAGAATGAGGGAGACAGATATTTAAAAGAGACTGAGTGAGAGAAAGGAAGAGCGAGGCTCGAAGACAGAAACTGATAGAGAGTGAAACGTAGAGAGTGAGACTGAGAGAGAGTGACTGAGTTCGAGAGAGAATGAAGAAGAGAAACAGAACCAGAGGGAGACTGGGCGAAAGAAACCAAGAGGGATACAGAGAGATACATACTGAAAGAAACACAGAGATAAAAGCCAGAGACCAAATGAGAGAAAAAACAGATCGAGAGACAGAGAAAAAATGACAGAGAGAAAAATGCAGAGAGAGCGAGACTGAGGGAGATATATTAAAGTGTAGTGACATTGTGTTTTGTGGTTGACAGAGAGAGTTACTGCGAGAGAGAGAAAGACAGAGAGAAGAGAGAAACAGAGAGTCAGTGAGAGACACTGACAAAGAGAGCGAAAGAGTGAGAAAGAAAGGCAGAAAGAAAGATGGAGAAAGAGTCAGAGAGGCACTGAGAGAGAAAGTGACTCAGAAACACAGAGTGAGAGAGAATGTGAGAGAGAGACGGAAAAGGGTACGGAGAGACACCGATAGAGAACGATAGTCTGAGAGACTGAGAGAAAGAGAGATTGAGAGAGACAGCGTGAGAGAGAGAGACTGAGAGAGCGAGATTGAGAGAGAGAGAGAGAGAGACTGAGGGAGAGGGAGAGACTTTGAGAGAGACTGTGAAAGAGATAGAACGGGAGAAAGAGAGAGAGAGCGACTTAAGGGCGAGAATGAGAGAGAGAGGGAGAGAGAGAGAGAGAGAGAGAGAGACTGAGGGAGAGGTAGAGGGCGAGACTGTGAGAGAGGCTGTGAAAGAGAGACCAAGAGGGACAGAGAGAGAGGGAGAGATAGATATATTAGAGAGCGAACATAGTCTTAGAGAGTTGACACAGCTCGAGAGAGAAAGACTGAGAAAGCGATTGAGAGAGAGAGATAGATTGAAGGACAGAGGCTTGGCAGACTGAGAGAAAGAGAGAGAGAAAGATTCAGAGAGAGGGAGAGAGACTGAAAGAAAATATATTTTAAAGTGTAGCAAATGTGTGTTTTGTGGGGGAAACAGATACAGAGTGACTGAGAGAGAGAGAGAGAGAGAGAGAGAGAGAGAGAGAGAGAGAGAGAGAGAGAGAGAGAGAGAGTTCGGGAGAAACTGCGGGAGAGACAGAGAAACAGACTGAGAGAGAGGCTCAGAGAGAAAGTGACTCAGAGACACAGAGTGAGAGAGCGACTTAGGGACAGCCTCAAAGAGCCTGAGAGATAGAGACCGAGACAGTGAGAGAGAGAACGAGAGAGAGACTGAGCGAAAGAGAGAGAGACTGAGAGATAAAGTGACTCAGAGACACAGAGTGAGAGAGAAACTGTGGGACAGCCTCAGAGAGCCTGAGAGATAGAGAATGATAGAGTGAGAGAGAGAGATGGAGCGAGAGAGGGAACGATTGTGAGAGAGAGAGAGGGAGAAAGACTGAGAGAAAGATAGAGACTGTGATGTTTGAGCACATGCGCAGGTGTGTCTGACCCTGGTCCCTGAGCGTTGGCACTTGGTCCCCACGTGAAAAGTTCCTGTATATACATGTCAATGAATATGGTGTTGTTACACTATATTCCCTGTGTTTGTGTCTCTGTGTCCAGGCTGGGGAGCAATAATCTGGGAGATTGTGGAGTGAAGCGACTGTGTGAGGCTCTGAGGATCCCGGAGTGTAAAATACAGAGTCTGTGGTAAGTAACGCACTGTGTCTCCAGAGTCTGAATGACTCCAATATCTCAATGTATTTATTGTGACTGTCTGATCAGTGCGGCTGAATATTGGGACAGGAATCGGTGTGATAGTGTGAGGCCACAAGTCATATTTTACATCAAACTCTCAACATGTATTAATGTGTGTGTGTCTGTGTGTGTGTATCTGTTGTTAGAAACATTTGCAACTATCTCCAACAATTTTACAATGATCCGATTCCAGTTTACCAATTAGTTGAGTTCAGTCACTTTATTCAGGTCAAGACAGCAGGTAACAGACAAAGAAATGAAACAATAAAATAATACACAAGACACAAAACTTTGCCGACCGTATTCCTGTCACATCCCTGGTCGTGTCTCGCACTGCTCCGCTACCGTTCCCGAGAGATATCTAACACACCTTTGTTTAAAGACGGCTTAAAAACTCCAGCCAAAGCTTTCTCTTTCAAGAAAAAAACTCCTTAGATGGTTTTATTCATAATATATTTCAATTCTCCTTTTAACTACATTTATTCTCTCCTGATCAGTCCCTTCGGCCAGTGTGTAAGTGTAAACAGACTTTTTGTGTCATTGTACGTCCTGACCTTATGTTGCCATTGTTTTGGATACTGCCTTCAGTTACTGAGCTTTGCAGCCTTTGCATTATATTCTATATTCTTGGAACACACTTTAATATTAATCCATGACGACAATTATTTTGTATTCTTAAAACACACTTTAACATTAACGCATCAAATATTATGTGTTTGTGTGTCTGTGTGTCTGATTGCGTGTCTGGGTGCATGTGTGCCTGTGCCTGTATGTGTGGCTGTGTTTTTGTGAGTGTTTGTATCAGTGTGCGTGTTTTTCTGTGTGTGCTTGTTTGAGTGTGTGTTCATTTGTTTGTGTGTGTGTTTGTGCGTGTGATTTAGAGTGTGTCTGTGTGTGTCTCATATATCTCTGTGTGTGTCTGTCTCTGTCTGTGTTTTTCTGTGGGTTTTGTGTATATGTGTGTTTGTGTGCTCTCTGTGTGTAATTGTGGGCGTCTGTCCTTTGTGTGCATATTTGTGCATATATGTGTCTTTGTGTTTGTGTATGCCTTTGTGAGTGTTTTTGTGTGTGTCAGCAAGTTGGGAAGTTTCCCGACGTGAAAGGCGCTATACAAATGTAATCTTGTTTTTGTGTGTATTTTTGTATGTTCCTGTGAGTGTGTGCGATTGTGTCTGTGTTTGTGTGTGTTCCCAACTCTTCCCGTCACAAGCTGCAGAGCATCCAAAATTATGCAGCTCGTGTCCTCTCACACACCAGGCTCCCCGACGCCATTACTCACACCCTCGCTCGACCCCATCACCCCCACCCTCGTCCGGCCTCATCACTCAAACCCTCGCCCGACCCCATCACTCACACCCTCGCCGACCCAATCATTCCATCCTCGCCCGAGCCCATCATTCCCATCTTCGCCCGACCCCATCATTCCCACCCTCGCCCGACCCTATCACACCCTCGCCGGGCCTCATTACTCACACCCTCGCCCAACCCCATCACTCACACCCATCCCGACCCCATCACTCACATCCTCGACAAACATCCCTGTTATGTCTCTGTGTCTCTGATCTCCAGGCTGCACAGGAACAATCTGACAGCTGATTGTACAGAGGATCTGACCGGAATCATGACAGGAATCTGTGTGACAGTGTGAGGCCACTTCTATTTTATATTATTAAACCACACTCTAATATTAACCCATGACGACACTCTGTGTGTGTATGTGTGTGTGTGTGTGTACATGAGTCTGTGAATGTGTCTGTGTGTCTGTTTCTTCTGTGTGTGTCTGTTTGCGTGTATGTGTGTGTGTTTTTGTGAGTTGGTGTGTGGTTGTGTGTTTCTGTGTTTGTGTGTGTTTGCGTGTCTTTTGGAATATGTCTCTGTGTGTCCCTTTGTATTTCTGTCTGTTTCTGTGTGTTTCTGTGTTTGTATGTTTCTGTGATTTTTTTGTGCATGCCATTGCGTGTGTGTTTCTGTGTTTCTGTGTGTGTATTTGCGTGCGGCTGTGTTTGTTTGTGTGTATGTTTGTGTATATGTGTATATTTGTGTTTGTGTGTGCATTTGTGAGTCACGTGCAAGGCGCTATACAAATGTAATCTTATTGTTGTTTGTGTTCCTGTGAGTGTGTGCGAGTGTGTGTGTGTGTGTGCGGGTGTGTGTGTGCGTCTCCAAATCTTCCCTTCACAAGCTGCAGATCATCCAAAACTCGACAGCTCGTGTCCTGTCACAAAACAGGCTTCCCGACCCCATTACTCCCACCCTCGCCCGACCACATCACTCCCACCCTCGCTCGACCCCATCACTCCCACCCTCGCCCGACCACATCACTCCCACCGCTGCTCGACCCCATCACTCCCACACTCGCCCGACCCCATCATTCCCAGCCTCCCCCGACTCCACTGGCTCCCCATCCCCCAGAGGATCGAGTTCAAGATCCTCGTCCTCACCTTGAAGGCCATCCATGGCCTCGCCCCCTCCTGCCGCTCTGACCTGCTGACTGCCTACCAACCTGCCCGCTCCCTCCGTCCAGTGGGCTCCGGGCTGCTCCACGTTTCCCGCCCGACCCGCCCTCCCATCGGTGTCCGGGCTTTCAGCCTCTCTGCCCCCACACTCTGGAACTCCATCCCACGGTCCCTTCGCTTCACTTCCTCCGTTGCCTTTATGTCTGTGTATGTTGGCGTATACGTCTGGGTGTATGTATTTGTCAGTGCGTCATGTATTTGTTTGTGTGTGTGTGTGTATTTAAGTGTGTGTTTGTGTGTGATTTTCTTTATGTTTGTGTGTTCTTCCATGCGTGCTTGTGCTTCTGTTTGCGCATGTTTGTGTTTGCGTCTGTGTTTGCGTGTGTGTGTGCTTAAGTGTGTGTGTTACGTTTGTGTGATTTTCTGTGTATGAGTTGATGAGTGTTTTTGTGTGTTTGCGTGTATCTGTGTAAGTGTATTTATGTATGTGTGTTGGTATGTAATTTTGTGTGTTTTTGATTGTGTGTCTGTGTGTCTTTATGTGTGGTTCTATGTGCGTTTGTATGTTTTTTTGTTTGTTTGTATGTTTGTTTGTGTGTGCATGTGTATGCGTGTTGATGAGTTTGTGTTTGAGTATGTTTGTTTGTTTATGCGTTTCTGTGTGTGTGTGTTTATGTGTGTGCGCGTGATTGTGTGTGTTTTTGTGTCTGTGTGTTTATTTGTGTGTTTATTTGTAAATGCTTTTGTGTGGTTCTGGGTGTGTCTTTGCTTACGCATGTGTTTTCCTGGGTGAGTTTGTGTGTGTGTGTGTTACTGTGTGTGCGCGTTTGTGTGAATGCGTTTGTGTGAATGTGTATGTATGTGTATTTCTGCGTGTGTCTGTGTGCATTTGTGTGTGTGATTGTATGTGTGCGTATGTGGGTATGTTATGGGTGATTGTTTGTGTGTGTTTGTGTGCCTATAAGAACATAAGAATATAAGAATTAGGCGCAGGATTAGGCCATTCGGCCCCTCGAGCCTGTGCCCCGCCATTCGATAAGATCATGGCTGATCTTGAGACCTAACTCTGATTAACTGCCCTTTCCCCATATCCCCTAATCCCTCTATTTTTTTCAAAAATCTATCAGTCTCAGCCTTGAAGATGTTCAAGGACTGACCATCTGCAGCCTTCTGTGGTAGTGAATTCCATAAGTTCACTACCCTCTGCGTGAGGAAATGTTTCCTCAACTCTGTTCTAAAAGGCTGACCCTTAATTTTAAGACTGTGACCCCTGGTTACAGATTCTCCTACCAGGGGAAACAAACCCTCAGTGTCTACTTTATCGAGCCTTTTAAGAATCTTATATGTTTCAATAAAATCTCCCCTAATTCGTCTGTACTCTAGAGAATATAGCCCTAGTTTATTCAGCCTTTCCTCATAGGTCATTCCCCTCATCCCAAGAACTAGTAAATAGCTGAGGACCAAGCACTGATCCTTGTGGCACTCCACTAGTCACATCCTGCCAATTCGAGAATCACCCGTTAATCCCTGCTCTCTGTTTTCTACCCGTCAGCCAGTCTTCAATCCATGCTAATATGTTCCCATTAATCCCGTGGGCCTTAACCTTGTGCAATAGCCATTGCGTGGCTCTTTGTCAAAGGCCTTTTTGAAATCTAAATGTTTTACATCTACTGGTTCCCCCTATCTACCTACTAGATACATTTTAAAAAACTCTAAAAGGTTAGGTAAGCATGACTTCCTTTTTGTTTCTGCCATGGTTAAGCATGATTTCCCATGTTGATTCAGCCTAATCTTGTTATGGTCTTCCACGAAACCCATAACGACATCTTTATTTCAGGTCTCAAGAATTTTTCCTACCACTGATCTCAAACTAACTGGTTTATAGTTCCCCATCTTTTCTCTCCCACCCTTCTTAAATGGTGGTGTTACGTTTGCAATCTTCCGTTCGGAACCGTTCCAGAATCCAGATAATTTTGGAAAATCAACGACAACCCATCCACTATCTCAGACACCATGTCTTTTAAAACTCTTGGATGTATGCCATCAGGTCCAGGAGATTTATCAGTTTTAAGAGCTGACAATTTACCTAAAACCATTTCTTTACGAATCTTAATTCCTCCAAGATGCTCACTAACATTTTGTGACTGAGAAAGACGAAAATATATTACAAAGTTTGCTGCCTGTGTTTCATGTGAGAGATAGAGAGAATGACTTGCAGAGAAAGAGCGAGAAAGAGTGACTGAAGAGTGAGAAAATATATTATAAAGTGCAGTGACTGTGTGTTCTGTGGAGTGCGAGATACAGAGTGAGAGAGAGAGAGACAGTGGGAGAAAAATAGAGAGAGAGAGAGAGAGAGAGAGAGAGCGACTGGGAGAGAGAATGTGAGAGACTATCAAAGAGAAAATGACAACAAGACATAGAGAGAAAGAGGGACAGAAT